TCGGTGCAATGCTGGCCTCTTGAGTCTTATCAATGATGTAACTCGATGTGCTTTCGATAATTTGTGCATACCGATTATCGATAATTGTGCCAATCACTTTCGATTGATACAATGTGGTTGTGTGATTGGCCACAATTTTGCCATCGATCAAACGAACGAGACCCGTTTTATGTTTATTATCGGCATAATTTGGTGTTGCCTCCAATATTGAACTCTTTTTCGATTCATCAACATTCACCGATGATGTTTTTTCGGTAATTTGCGAGTATGCATTATTTATATAGGTTCCAATGGCTTTTGTCGTATAGAATATTGTCGAAATACCTTCGGCATCAACAATTTTACCCACATTTAATGAAACAACACTTGGTTCTTTTGATTTCTCCGTCAATTTATCCTTGGTAAATTTCTTTTCGCCTTTGCCATCGATAATTTGATTTAATTTTACATTGTCCAAATTGATGGCACGACCGGCTGGCGTTACTGTGGCCACCATTGCTACTGGTTCAAGTGATGGCGTTATGACATTTGTAACCGTTTCGAAGCGACTATTCAAAACTGTATCGTCACCAACATATGACGTCGTGTAGTATGTATACGTGGTGAAATATGTGGTTGGTTCCAATACCTGTGTTGGACTTACAATACTAGCTTCAATCACATTTTCTGCCGCTGGTTTTTGGGTATCATTTTCCGTTTCTGCATTGTCTTCGGTCGATGCTTCGACGGTCGATGGTGATGCGACAACAATGCTTGGTGCAACTGCGTTCACTGGCTTAACACGTGCCGTTGGGAAAATTTCATCAATAGCCAATGTGGATGCGGTTGGTGCTACAACATTTGATATGACCTTTGTATTTGATAAGGTAACCACTTCACCCTCTTTGAATAATGTTGTCCAGTATGTAAATGTTGTGAAATATGTGGTTGGCAAAATTGGTTCATCGGCTAATGCAGCCGGTGGAATAACAATTGTTTGTGTTGGCTGCAATGTTTCTGTCACCACATTTGTTATCGTTTCCAATCGTGATAGAACTTCACTTGCATCACCGACATATTGTGTGGTAAAATATGTAAATGTTGTGTAACTCGTTTGCAACAATAATGTTGACGATGGTAAGATCTCTTCATTTTGACTCTCCGAACTGATTTGATCCTCTAGAATGTTATTCAATTGTTTGCGGATACTTTCAACGACACGCTTTGTATCGGGTAACTTAATCGTTTTGAATGTTGAATTAAATTTATTAACCGAAATTGTGCTCTCTTCAGCAGCCTCTTCATCACCTACATAGTCGCTGTCTTTTTGGCTCTTCTTCACTTTAGCCGAGGTTCTTTTCTCCACTTTGTTATTTGTTGATTCGGTGGTGGTAACCTGGTCACCATCATCATTGGCTTGAGTTGTTGTGAGTGCATCGGATTGTGCTGAACGCTCAGCCGATCGAACCATTGTAGTGTAGCTCGGTTGAATCACATGATTATCCAAATCTTCTTCGGTTGATGATTCGGTGCTTTCTTCATCCTTTCGTTGATCTTCAACTTCATTCAATTTTTCATTCACTTTTTCAATTATCTTTGATGAGAAGATTTTATCCTCTTCGACCAAACTGGTCGGTTTTACCGATGGTCCAACAAAGTTCGTATACACTTCAGTACGAGAAGCGATTTCAGTTTCACCATCTGCAAAAATGGTTGTATAATAAGTGTATGTTGTGTAGAATGTTTTCAATGAGCCCTCAATTTGTGATGCTTCAATAGCAGCGTCGCTTAAAATCGGTGTTGCTTGATTTAGATTACTTTCAACGTAACTGTCATCGAAAATGTCTTCAATACTAATCGCTTGTTCTTTTTTACGTGCATGGGTTCGTGTTGCTCCTACATCATTGGCCACTTTCGTTGGTTCGATGCGTTCCGTTTTATCGGACATGCTGGCCACCAAATCGGCCAAAGCTGCATCTGATTTTATCAATGACATATCCAATGTTGATGTTACAATATTTGTAACTACTTCTTTGCGGCTCGATACACTGCTCGTGTATCCATGGAAGAATGTCGTCAAATATGTGTATGTGGTGAAAAGTGTTTTATAAATAAGTTCAATTTCATCTTCTTCCGAATCATTGGTTGATTCGGTGGTGGTTGATGATGATACTGATAATGTAACTGCTTCAATAGTATTACCTTCAACATTTTCGGTTGTTGCAACGTTCGAACCATTTTCATCAATTTCCGATTCACTTGAATTTTCAGTAGTTGGCTCTTCGGTTGTGGTCGGTGGTGGCGTTGTTGTGTCTTTAACGCGATTCAAGTATCTATTTCGTTCTTTCAAACTTATCTTTATTGGTTCAACGGATTTGGTTTTCAACTCCACATGTTCAACAGCCGTTGGTTTGATCGCTTCGGCTTTCAATGTGCATGTCATAAGAATATCCGTTCGAACAACATCATTCGATTCAATATGAGTGGATGTACTTTTTTCATCATTGTCATCGGGAATAAAGAATGTTGTCAAATATGACAATGTTTTATAAACGGTTGTATGTTGTAAAATATAACCTTTTTCACATTCTAGATCTTCGCCATATTCTTCAGCCGAATCGGTGGTTGTTTCTGGTTTTTCATCGTCTGTTTCTTCACTTTCAGCGCTATGAACTGGTTCCGAAGTGTTTTCTTCCGCTACATTTTCGGTTGTGGTCAATACATTTCCATCATTTTCTGTGGTTACCTCAATTGATTCAGTGGTTGCGGTAACAACAGTTGCGCTTGGTTTAATATCCGCCTCCTTTTCGGCCGATGCAAATAATTGGAATGGATCATCTTCAAAGAAAATTGTTGTGGCACCAGTTAAGGTTTCAGCCGTTTGTTCACGAATCGTATCTTTGCTAACAGTTTCGTCTGTTTTATCTTTGGCCGCCAGTGATGCAAATATTTTTGCAATGTCCTCATCGGATGGAATTGAAAGCATCGGAGCTTTGCTTGCTGTTGTGGCAGCAACAATTTGAATGGTTGGCGTTTTTGCCAATTCTTCGGTTTGTGTTTGTATTTCACTCGCTTCAATGACGCTCGGCGACAAATTGTATTTCAATGAATTTTGTTCTTTGGCCAAAATCGATGATTTTTGCTCCAATTCTTCGGCACTTTGCTCTTCAGCCGTTTCAGTACTACTATCAGTCGACGATACTTTTTGCGTAAGAATCTCATCAACTTCTTGAGATTCGGTGGTGGTGGTTGTTTGTTCCGTTGTGCTTGTCGTTGTGGTTGTGGTTGTGGTTGTTTTTGTTGTTGTTGTTTCGGCCTTACTTTTTCGATTATATTCTTCAATGGAATTTAATGCAAGCAATTTTGTTTGTGCAATTACTTGATTTTGTTCAACCGTTTGTGTTGGTTCGATGCGAGATCGAAGTGTTGCTTCACCTTTGATCGAAGTCACTTTACCAATGCTGGGCGGTGCTGTGTTCGGTGAAAAAACAATCACCGTATTACCAACAACGGTTGTAAAATCAGCAAAACCATAATATGTCACCGATTGCAATTGCTTTTCCTCTTCAGTAAAACCAGCAATCGGAATTTGAATCGAAGTTAATTGTTTACCAATTCGATTTTGTTGTATTTCTTGTGAAATTTCTTCACTATTATCGGCTGCATTTTCCAAGCTACCATAAAAACCGGAATCAATATCCTCAAATGTATAACCACTTGGTACGGTAAATGTTGGCAATTCAATGGATGTTCGCACTCGTTCTGGGCTAAGTTGAATCTTATATTCAGCATTCTTTCCACTACCACCACCATTGCTACTGCTACTGCTACTTTCTGAAACACTAAACGATTGCCGAACTTCGGCTTTTTCTTCAATCGGTATACGCACTTGTGCCAAACTTTGCGGTAACAATTCAAATGCAATATCTTCACCCGAACCAAAATTCACCGAATTCACGGCGACCGTATGCACATTGTACGCTTTGCTTGGATTATTCGGCGATATATAGTCGGTATTTTTAATAAATGTCACCACATTGTCATCGTCATTTTTCGTTAAATTGATAGTCATTTGATTTTTATTATTTGATTTATTTTTTACGTCTGAATTTCCAATGGTCAATGTATTGTCCGCGTATTTAATGGCCGGCCCAATCACTTGTGTTGGTATAATTTGATTGTATGCATTGGCCGGTGTTACTGTGGCCACTGTCACTGTTGCGTCAATGTCATTGTTATTTGCGTTGTTACTGTATACAACGCGTGAGCTTTTCGTCAGTAATTGTGCGTAAAGTCGTCCATTGTCAATGGTTTTACCAAGTACTTGGGTCGCATATTCAGTTGTCACGCCGTCTTGGATGAACGTGCGTGCAGTTGATGTGAGCAGACCAACAGCCGGTTTAACGTTGAGAAAGCGTCCATGTGCCGCCCGATTATTATTATCCACTAACAATATTGTTGTTACATCTAAACAGTAGTTTAATATATATATATATGTATAAAGTATATGTACAAAATGTGCAATGGTTTTTTTGTTCATTTTTGTGTGTAAAAGAGAGAGAGAGAGAGAGAGAGTAAGAAATAAAAATTTAAGGATTCAATCGAATTAAAAAAAGTACACTTAATTCTATGACAAAAACACTCAAGGCATTCAATAAATTTGAAATCGAAATAAAAAGAAAAAACAGACACGAAAAGAATGAAAGGAAAATGGTTAGCAAAAATTAAATGGGATTTTTTTTTTAAAAGAAGAACATTCTATCGATGTAAATCTTTTAAATCCAAGGAAGAAAAAGAGAAAAACAATGAAATCAGTCCTATTTTACATACAACGAAAGAAAATAGCGTTAAAAATAGTATTTGAAAGAACAAAAGAAAGAAAGAAATTCTGTACAATTTGGATAATTTTTGTTTTTTGAGATTAAAATCAATTCTTTTTACAACCGATCACGTTCCTTCTCTAATCAAATGGGAGCCAAGAGAAAAGTAGTTTAATTGGCGTTGTGCCACGAAACACATACCTGCTTTTTCAGAGTCAAGTGACGGCGTTGGCTGAAGGTCTTTATTGTGTTCTGTAATAAATGAAAAAAAAAACATGAATGAAAATTAATCACTTTAATTGCATATAAAAACACGTTTAAAATAAAATCGCTTAAGCTCGACTATATTTCTAATCTAAAAGTATGTAATCAAAAATCCAGCCGGATGAAGTGACCTCAGTATATTTGGAATGTGGCAACGGAACAAGTTTTTCAGCTCAACAATAAAAATGTGCTATGCCAATCATTATTTTTCTCTATCTCTCGCCATTTATCCCAAAAACCAAAACCAAAATAATTTCACTGACATAATTCTGATGTTTTTTTGAGCTCACATGAAACAAAAAGTGCGCAACACAATTTTTTTTGCCATCCAGAAATTTGTACGGAACATTGCGAAAATTGTGGGTCATGCGTTGAAATGGAAACGAAAAAATTACGAAAAGAAAAAAACAATGCGCTATCATGTATTGTGTTCGCCTCTAATTGAAATCTAGATGAAAACCGACGAAAATCTTGATTTCTTTCAAAGAACATCTATCGCACGGTATTTTCTTATTTGCCTCTTCAAATTACTCAATTGTGACATTCTGTACAGTACGTGTGTATGCTGTTAAATTGAGTTATTATGCCGATGTTTACAGATCATGTTTCATAATTTGAATGACTCTTCATGTTTTTGCTTCTTCTTTTTTTCTTTCTCAGTTTCTTATCGTAACGAATCTGGAAAGCGAGAGACAGTGTAAAAGATAATGAAGCAACAATGTAAAGCGAGTGAAATATTCACTTATTCTGAATAAGATCAATGTGTTAACAAAAAAAAGTCATAGCCATTGGAAGGGAATTTGAACGTGACGTCTCTTTTTTGTTTTTATCATTTAGAATTTGCGTGCATAATTTGAAGTGAAAAGTTGAAGAATTGTTTGATTTGTGTGCCGGAAATCAAGCGATTAAAAAACATTACTCGAAAACAAACGCACATTTTTTTTCGCCCTCAATTTTAATTGGTCTATATAGTATGTATAACCAACTGAATTATACACATCGATATGAAAAAAGAGTTGAAAAAAGAAACAATTTGTACAGTGTTCACGTGTACAATGGTCTGTTGTTCTTGCGCTGATCGGCCGCCACATATTGTACAACATTGATCGCGCATTGTATGTTGGACCGTTTTTTCTTCATGAAAAATCGTTTTTCTTTCATTCAACGAGATTAATGATAATGACGTTGTTGTTGTTGTAGATTTCAAGTGGCCAATTCAAGTTTTAGGCGAGCTTGAGCCCATTTTTATATCTCTGTTTTTGTTGTTGTTGTCTCAAACACCTTGGAAACAATGCAATTTTAATGCATAATTGAGCAGTCATTATGTGATCCTTTCAAACAGCGCACAACTTGTGTGTTGCACAATCTGTGAATGTCTATTAAGGGAGTAAATCACGTCTTATATGATCAAAATAAAACAAAAAAAGTGAAACACTTTTTTGGTTGGATTTGAAATGAAGACAAATGCGGTTTCTTTACAAGTTCGTGATTTGTGATGTGTTTATATTTTTTTTTATTGTGAACAAATTGCGGTTGTTTGTCAAACAACAGTCGTGTTTTCCTGTATGCGACATTTGTGCTAAACTGATTTATGCATTAAATAATAGAGACGTATATATTTTAGTCACCGTTCGCGTCGATAACAGTGACTCAAGTTTAAACGACAAATGAAATAAATCTCGATATTGTTACCAAAATGACATTGGTTTGGCTTTTTTTTCAGTGTCTTGCAACAGTTGGTTTAATTTTCAAATCGGTCTGGCCTTTTCTCGATGGCTGTCAAACACTTTCCCCACTTTTTCATGTGTTTGACATGTTTTGAATAAAATTCGTCGATAAATTACTATTTGAAATATATACTGTGCCATACATAAATTTGTTTGTATGAAGTTTATTGCATAGACTTTCGCCCGAAGGTAATTGTATGATTTATTGAGGAAAAAAATCATGTGCGATAACCAAACTTTCGATGTCAAATTCTCTAAGACATTAACATCGGCGCTCAGAATAATGCACCGTAATTGTCTCCATCTTTTTTTCTTCGTTCAAATGGTGCGCGCATTGACTCGAAAATCATATGGTGTGTACATTGTATTATCATCGTCTGTGCAATGAAATGAATAACAATGCAAAAATGTTGTACACTTTGTTGCTGTGTACTTACAATTTTCCATTGTTATTGGCAATGAGATAAGCGTGTTGACTTTCGCTTAAATCATCGAACTCCAAAAGCACATGATGCGTTTTTTTTTTTTTTTTTTTCAAAGTGTGATTATATGGAGGCATATTTAAGTTGAAGTATTATGTTCAAGCAACAACCATATTAGACACTATCTCCCACAAACAAACACACTCTTCGCTTATAGGTAATAATCAATTCACTTTTTCTTTCATTCGAAATGAAAAACACATTTTTTTTCTTTAAATCTATATTATAATTTCGTTAGCAATTGGACCTTTCAATCTCGGTTTCATTCAGCTAATGTAAAACCATATAATGACTTAAGAGGTCGATCGGCGTTGCTCTTTTATTTCCATCTCTTTTCTTATGTTTTCTTTTCATTCGCTAATCGCATAGCCGTCTCTTTTGTAAGAGATGCGAGAGACTCTTGTCGTAATCTCGAAATCTACTTGCAAAACACATTCAACGCATCAAAACAAAATGGATGCTTAAAAAGCGATGAAAACAAGAAAAAAAAAACTTAAACTACGCTGCCGCTACTATTAAATTGATTCCTTGACATTTCAACTTTGTTTAAAAATAAAAGAAGAGATTGATCATTGTTTAGCCAAACAAGTGATTGCGTTCTTTCTTTTTTGTGAAAACTATGCAACTTGTGATCGGTTCATATGGGTCCAAACACTCACCGCAAATACAAAGAAGTTTCATTGGCGTCTTATAAGTTAAAATAATTCAAATATCAGTTTTTTTTAAAATGAATATCGATTTTTCGGATTTTATCAAATTGATAAGAAAGAAGTCATTGGAGATATCGGGGTTTTTGGTGCCTTCAATTTGACGATGGTTTGCATCGGTATAACCAAAATTGCGGCGAAGAAAAAAAAAAGCCACAAGTAATTTCATGCTTACGAATCAAAATGAAAACATTGACTGCGGAAAACAAAGCGAGAGTGTGTGCAAGCAGAAAAAATTGCAACCATCAATTTTGTGAGCATTGTGATTCTAGATTAGAAGGAGATTGTGGCGCGGAAGCAATATGCGCTGCGAATCAAATCACATTCACATTTTACGAAAAAAATGAACAATTGTATTTTCAAAGCTTTAATTCAACAGCGAGATAGATTAAGAGAGAGAGAGAGAGAGAGAGAGAGAGAGAGAGAGAGAGAGAGAGAGAGATATTGTGCAAGAGAATAAAAGCGCTAATAACTCTGGTGAAAATTGAAAGTAGAAGTGTGTGGTGTATGTGAACATAATTATGAATTCATTTAATTCTACATTGCTAAATAGCAGGCGGAAAAATCGGCATATACGCAACCAAAGTGAATGAAATGAAGTGCGAGATAGAAATGCGCCGAAAATAGGTAAACGCAAACCTTATTTTTTTTAAATAATAAATTCGAAATGAAAAAAAATGCGAAGAAGAAATAGATAATAATTAATAGTTGAAGAAAGACGTTAAAAAATGAATCATAATTTAAATTACACATATGTATCCCAAAGAAAAGATGGTTCACGCATTCGAAGTTCAAAGCGGCATGGTATTGCAGAAAGTAAATAATTTGTAACATTGTATTGTGCGAATAACTCGGCCAGAAAGTACAAACGCGCTCTATACAGGCAATCTCACCAAAAACAAAACAAAAAGTATATTATAAAACCGGATATAAACCGATAATAACAATTTCAGTGTTTAAAAATATGTACGGAGAGCTTTCGCAATACGCCTTTGAAGTTTTTTTTTTTTAAATGTAGTATGCGCCTGTCGTTCGAGGGGTCTCCGGGTAGGAGAAATAGAGCAAGTGTGTAATGGTTGTTATATTTATGCATCACACGCGTTCTCTTGCTGCTGTTGATGATAGTGTTGTTGTTGTTTTTAAGAGTCTTTTGAAAATGAAATATGCGGCAAAGCAGACAGGTGAACACCAGCCAACGCATAACATTTATAAATATTCACAATGAAATCGAATTTATTTCATACGTCTTCAATTTTATTCGACATTGTTGTCAAAAAAAATTAACTACAATGAATGCGTTTTCGGTGTACGTATTATTATTATGGAGAGAATATCGAGCAACAGAGAAATTATGAATATTGAACAACGACCGAAGAGGAGAAATGGTTAAAACTCATATCGAACAGGAGGAATTTTCGAATATGTTTATTTTAGCAATTTCTTTTCATGTTGTTTTCTTTCTCTCTCTGGTTTACTGTCTTCATTTAAATTTTTGCTTATCTGTTGAGCATATGCATGTCAAATCAAAAATGCAGATATGTATTTGTTCACATCGATTTGAAATTTTTGTTTCGTCGTGTTTCTTCTTTTCATTGCTTTCTGATACAATCCGTTTTGAAAACACTTTTGCACACTTCACTGTATGATTATCCCACTTGAAATTGTAAGAGAAAATATGTGAAACTGTGCGTGGCATAACAGAAATCATCATAAGATCAAAGCCGGTTGACAAAATACAGAAAAAAAGTGAATTTATTTTTGTAGCAATTTTCTTCGCAGCACAAAAAATATTCATGTGATGAATTTTTATCGATCGATTTTCGTCTTCATCAGTCGTTAATTGGACGAATTTTTTTATTTTTCTCACATTAACATGAATTCATGCCGACACAAACAACGGAAATTGAAGCAAAGTCTAGCACATAATCGAATTAATCTCGTTTCGCTATCATTCGTACTTGGTCTTTCATGTGCGGCGATGCAATGTAAAAAGTTTCGTTTTCATTTTCACAAATCCATATCAACCGCATAATTTAAAAGAAAGAAAAAATTGTATGATTTTTTTTCTGTTT